GCAAAATGGAGAGCTTGCCTTGTTTTCTGAAAATTAGAGGTTTGAAGCCTACATAAAATTGGTTCTGGTTTTGAAACCACCTTGGCAGTTATTAGTTTTCAAATTACTTTTTTGAGGGTAGTGTGCACAGCTGCTATATAAAGAAGCAGTCTTTCTGGGTACATGGCATCTTTGAAAATCAGATTCCTTTTTTTTCCAAGTTCTTCTTTCCTAATAGTTGAGCAGGCCATTGCAGGGTTTGGGTTTAATTCCCTGGCATTAACAGCACAGCATATTTAATACATCAGAAGGAATCTTATAGTTCTACTTAATGACAGAAAGAAAGATGCAGTATCTGGGGCCCCCGAAACTATTTGAGTTCGTTCCCTGGCTAGGTTTTGTGGGTGTTGCCCAGCTGAAGATCTTCAGCCATTACTACATAGGTTTACCTATAAATTTCAGAATACCAAGCCTCATAGCTATTCTACAGGGGTGCCAGGTTGCAGAAAAAATATTTACTTACTTTCTTCCTTATTCTAGTATATTTGTTTTCCCTAATTCTCTGCCACATAACTAAGGAAAGTAAATCTAGTGACTAAGTAATCTTTCACATTGGATTATGTTTTAGATTTCTTATCAGTTTTCATTGTGTAAGCGTAATCTGACTCATGGGAGAAGAGCTGCTATCAAATGTACGTTTCTTTGAAAGTTTTGGTAAAAGATAATAATTTATAAAGTTTTTCTACGTCTTAAGCCATTATAAGCCATGTTTTGCTCATGCCACACTTTCTTGAATGGACAGAGACAGTGTGTAGCTGGGGGGGCTTTACTGACTTCCCTGATTAATGTTTCCAGTTCTTTATTTAATTTTTTTTAAGTACAAGCTGTGTTTGGTGGAAGAAATAGTACAAATCTGCAAAGATTTATCATGTTGTTCATGTATTAAAGTTACATGTATATGTGTGGGGAGGATGTATATGGGCAGTGATACCACGGAACAGTATTAACCATTACAACTGTTGCAGAGTTGCCTAGAGACTGGATCTGTATGAGACTGTGTTCTGATAAGTTAGATTGACAAGAACTTGGACACCTAATAATTTAAAATATTACTTCCCAAAATCTGGATCCATTCAGTTCCACATTATCTTGCAACTGCAGAAATTTCTTAGAGCTGCAGGTACCCCAGAGGTCTGCTGCCATTTAGAAACAGAATCACCCATGTCTCGATTGTGCTGAATTGTGTGGTATCTGTGCTATTCCCAAACCACAGGAGGATTCAGAAGTAAGGTATTTTACCAACTGGCTACTACCTAATCCACATTTTCTACACTTAACACCAGTTCTTTTCATCTGCCTCATTTGGCCTACAGAAGGAAATAGTTTCAACTGGTAGGATTACAGGTTTTGTAAAATGACTAACCTGCACGCAAAGCTTTGCTGCATAACAGGCAGAGGAAGGACTTGAAGATAGATTGTTTACAACATACATTTGTGAGCATTAATTGACCATTTGCTGAAAAGGACACTGATACCTCCTCAGTTTGCCTTTTTTTTTTTTTTTTTGCGAAGGAGGACAGACCATGCTGAGCACTTTTAACTGCAGGACAAGGCTCACAGAAGTGGATTTAAGTGACTAAGTTACTTCTGAAGGGGATCCTAAACATATCCCCTCCTTTGGTATTTTTATCAGCCAGTTCATATTAGACATCTTGCTATTTGTTGAACAAGGAGCCTAAAAATGTTAGCTTGCAGCTGTGAATTCTGCTGGGTAGAAAGACACTATAGTTACGGATCATGACAAAACTTAAGTAGTTTTAGTAAAACACAGAAACCATTCTGTCCTTAAGAGACCACAGTGTAAACTGGCAAAACAGAGAAAAGCTGTGAAGCAGAGGTATTTCTGCCTTACAGGTGAGGGACTGATGTGTTGGCTTGCTGAGGTTCATAAATCTCAACTAGGATCAAACATACATGTCCTTACAGCAGAAAGCATCAGAACCAGAAGGAAGTTACTCACTAGATCTCAGTCTTTATTGCTCAGAAACTGGGGGACCTCTGCTTTCTTTTTTACTTGTTCATTGTTGTTCATTTGAGGATTTTGTGCAGGTATACAGATTTTTCCAGGATCCATCTCTGACCAAGGGAGGATCAGCTGTACTCTACCTGCAAAAGAGACCAGATGCTCACAGAAACATTGAATGTACACACAGCTAGAAAATGATATTAAGGTAAGATAAGTACATCAGATGGGAGGCAAAGTTTAGAATTCTGATTATCAGGTCAGACTATCTGGTCTGGTGCTTCCAGGTAATGGAAGGTAATTACCTGGTAATTACCTGGAAGGTAATGTGCTTCCCTAATTAACAAGAGCACCCTTCCTTCTACAAAAGCCACTGGTAGTCATATGCCATTTTTGCTTTTTTAAAACAAGAAAAAAATGTTACAATATCACTTAGGATCACTGAAAGTTTCTTTAAGTTTTTATACATTTTGTATGTGTCTACAAATCTGGAGTTATCTGTTAGCTCTAGTTTGTTTTTTTTCTCCAACTTTGGCTTTCTGTTCTTATAAAAGAAAAAGAAATTTCTCAACCCTTAAACTTGTTCTCAGTATTTGCATAACAAGTGTGTAAGCAAAACTAAAAAGGCTCATTCGTGCCCTCATTATCCCGTCTCCACTTCAGCGGTGTCATTTAACAAACATGACACTATATAAAGGGGACTTCTGCGAACTGCTCTTTCATTTCACTTTGAAGCAGAAAGGTAAGTTGAATTTCCTTTTAATAAATCACAAGTATCTTCAGCTAGAAGGCAAACCTGTTCCTTTTCACTTCTGTGGTCATATTTACATTTTTAAATTAAATCTTCCTTTTTTTTTTTTTTTTTTTTTTTTTTTTTTTTTTGGAATTTTTGGTAGCAGTGTATCCATTGAAGACAATACATTGTTTTGGGATTTGACCAACATAAATCTAAGGGGGATCTGATTTTTCTTTTTTTTTTTTTTTTTTTTACTTTGCTTATATTAGCAATTTTAGTAGATGAGGAGATGCCTGAAGGACACCAGATTGTAATGACTGATGAAAGTCATTAAAACTGAAGAGCTGGTTTTTCCATTTTGCTATATAACTGATCAGGACTCTGACTCTGCATCATAATCTAGTTATGAGCTGGATGCAGTAGTCCATTCAAATGTAATTCCCTGAACGATCAGCACCAGACAAAGAGTACCTGTTGTAATTGCATTTCCTTATCTCAGGGACATAAGTATTCCTAGCTACCTAAGGTAGGTTTCCGTTAGAGACTTTAATAATCTGTTCTCTGAGTCATCGGCCAGCATTGTCAGAGGTGTCTGCTAGCCTTCAGTATCATAAAGGGTAAACAACTCCAGATGCTTCAGATTCAACACATGAAACACATGCACTTTTAATACAGCACGTGTGTTCTCAGGTGGATTTGAAATTTCCACTCGTTAAAGTGGAAATTCTTGACCATGAGGAATAGACACTGCTATTACTTAAAGAGATTCTATATGCAGCAAAATGCTGAAGTTTATGACATAATTGAATATTCTTATGTTCAAGGGTATGTCCCACTGAATCGATTTTGATGAGACATTCCTCTATAAAAACAAGTGAACTTTGCCCTTAAAAATAGTTGGTACTGATGCAGATTTACAATAGTGTCAAAAGCCTATGATAGAGTCAGTCTGGAAGATGTAAACAATACTTTTTTTTTTAAAAAGCTCAGTCCAGTTTTAGTGTATCCATTTAATAAATGGTAATAATAATAAACTGATATTTTGATTCTGCTTGGCATATATGCTTTCAAACAAATACCTTGTTTTAACTGATGAACCCAGGTGTTAATAATCTTGCAGCATTCAAGCCAACCAAGATTTTATTCTCAACTATTAAGTGGAGCTGGATTTAGAACATACTATGTGTGAATTAAAATGATCTTGTCAATTCTGAATTTTTGTAAAGATGGAAGTTTTTAAGAGAGGGTAGTGCATGATCCCCTCTAATTTGTGCCAAAAGAAAAGTGAAGTCATGGGTATTAAGTTATATATGTTTTGTATGAAACTCAGCCCATCAGCATCATCTCATTAGAAAGGAATACCCATTCTGGCATCTTGAACCTTTCTGTCTCTCTCGTATTATTTCAACTGAATGATGCCAATAACTGTTTTATAACCACACAGAGTTACCGATGCTGCATACCCACTAAGCGCGTTGTAAACCCATGATCTATAGTTTCAGAGCGCTTTTTAGTCATGATATCTTGGCCCTGAGATTATAACCCTACTTAATGTTATATCTGAAAGGATAAAATAAGATGAATAGGCCTATTGCCAACCACCAAAAATGCATTTTCTACAAGACTAACTCTGACATTTTCAAGCTTGTGGAATTTTCTTCAAAACAAGATAGGTATGTCAATTGAGCTATAAAATTTTGTCCATGTGTAAAACACTATCAGTCTGCTTATTTCAAATAAATGTGCTTAAATAGTACTGTGCTTAAAGAGATTGCTAACTAGCTCCAAACCATCACAACAACCGCTGTTAACAGATTGTGCCTTTCAGGTTGTTAGCACATGCATCTATGTTTCCTTGAGTGATTACAGCCCTTACAGACAACTAATGGCTTAAATGTGATCAGTTACATCTGAGCCCATCATTTCTCAAGGATTAATCCAACGAATAGTCAATGATAGCAAAAAGGATGATTTGTCTTCACTACTCCCAAAAGTGTAGCTGTCATTCTGTAATGAGCATACCAGTCTGTATGAGTCTAGAAACAGTTTTGTGTATAAACTATGCAACGGCAGCAAAATAAATCTGGGAAATCTCTTATACCTAAACTATAGACTTTATTTAAACAAGGAAAGAATGTAAATTTTAAGAAGGGATGAAGGGGGAGGGGGGAAATGTTCAATTATATAAGCCAATGCCTACAATTTCTTACAGAATCATTGCCTGACAAATATGTGGGTTTCTTACAGCTGGCCTGAGCAATCATGTTGTCTTACTTGTCCTATATGCTCACAGCAGTAGCCGCTTTGCTAGTGACTTGCCATGCACTGTGTAAATGTCCAGGAATTCCTGGGCTTCCTGGTATCCCTGGAAGTCTGAAAGGACAGCCACGTGTACCAGGTAAGTAAACTTCCCTTTTTTGCAACAAAACCTTGTCATGAAGGCTGCATGACTAAAAACAGTTAACACAGAAGGACATATGCCCTCGAGGAAGCAGCTGCGTTAAGCAGAGGAGAGAAAACTGAATGGAGGAAAGGGTCAGTTTAATTTTTTTTTTTTTTCCTAAAAGATAGGCCTCCTCCCTCTTCTGGGAGAAGAGGGGAAATGAACAGGTTATCAATACTTAAACATATAAATATATATATATCTATCTTTGTAGTGCTTTTCCATTGACTTTCCAAAAGGAATTGCTTCTTCCACAGCAGAAGCTTTTTCTTTTTTTTTTTTTAAGTATGAATAAGATGTTATTCCAGCATTTACAAGTGTAAATTTACAAGTTAAAGGCTTCTGGCATGTTTCTCTAGTATTCAAAGATGGTATATGCAGAAGTAGTCTGGTAAGGAACACACTTTGCATTGTATAATTTTCTTTCTATGTAGAAATGCTCATCAATTGGAAAGAAAATTATATTTCTCTTTTACAGGTCTCCTAGGACCCTCTGGAAGCCTTATGGGGCTTCCTGGAAGATATCGTCTTCCTTGGCTGGAAGGTGAGAAAGGAAAAAAAGGGGATATTGGACCACCACGTGAAAAAGGCTGATGTCCATGTAATGTTCTGTCAGTTAAATAGACTCTCTTTATTGGGTCAAATATGTTGGTTTTTACAGACTGTGAAGTGCAGTAAGAGTTGAAACACTGCAACTCAGAGAGAGATGCAGCAATATTTTGCACTTCTGCATTGCCATTTGTTTTAGTTGCGACTAATGGGAACACGATCGTGGGAGCACACTAGTAACTTTATTCTACATGTAGGACCTTTGTTACCCATGGAAATTTGTATGAAAAAAGTATCTACCCTTACAGTGAGTTCCCACCTTTAGCAAGCAGTGCTCAATGGACTGTATTTAACACCGTCTATGCAGAAACCCTCCTATACCCGTGTTTATGGTTTCCGTGAAAACAAGATCCCACTGTAAAAACACATAGCATCCACCCAAGAGATTAAAAAGAAAATGGTATGGTGCCATAGGAACTGTTCCCTCCCCAAAATCTCCCTTGTGCCTGTTCACTAAGGATTATTAGAATGAAACAAATTCTTTGGCAAAACCACTTTCACAGACATGACAAACATAAGGCTTCAACCCAGAAAAAAATCATTCTCTTCTGTGCAGAAGGGAATTATTAGCATTTCAGAGGGTTGGAGGGTTTTGTTTGTTTGCTTTAATATAGGTTAACAACAGTGTGAAAAAATACTGGGAAAACATTTATTTTATGCCAGATGATGTTAAATAAATACATTGTGTGCTAGTTAGTTTTGGAAAATGATTAGTTTTATCCAAGGAATTGTCCCTATCAGCAGAGCCTAGTTTTGCTTGATTGTATAACTTCTATTTTTATCTGTGTAGGTCTACCTGATTCTTTGGACACTGAACTCCGCAATGTTTTAGTAAATTTGAAACACCGACTTTCCAGACTTGAAGGCGGTAATTTTTCCCATTTTTTACTTTTTCAGCTCACAATCAATTTTAAGCGCAGCAGGCAAAATTAATTATAGAATCATGATGTAGAGCAAAGAAGTCACACTTGAAAATGGTACTACATCCCAAACCTTCCTTTTCTTATCCAAAGCAAGGGAGATCAGGACTCGTTTTCCCTGGAGAAGCAGATTTCTCTCAGGAACGCTAATGCACATTTATTCAAATTCAATTTATTAAAAAAAAATATTCCAACTGATGTTGCACTTTCCATATGGATTCATGGGAACTCCTCAGCCTTGTACGGCATTGCTAGCATTTTTGTCTATCAGCAACCAGATTGTTAATGGTGGTAAATTGTTTTCTGCTGAGAAGGAATTCACAAAAATTATTTCTCTGTTTCACTTGCTCAAATTTGAAGCAAGTGGATCCTCTTTAGAGAGGACACACAATATAATAGGGCTGATGGTGTACGTAGCAAATGTTAATGGGGCATCCTTGTCTTGGAGAAGACAATGACAGATGGTCACAAGCCGCATAACAATATACTTAGTGAACAACTAGTGAACTGGTAAAATTTTGAAGATCTTTATTTCTCTTCATCCTTTACTCTCATTCTTGCCCCTGTTCCCTCCTCTTACCACTTCTAATTTTCTCTTCATCTCTTGATTTCTCTTTCTTTGCTTTCTTATCAATATGACATAGGAAATGAAAAAAGCTAACTAGGTTTTTTCTTTTCATGTTTCAGTGCTTGCTTTGAATGGGAAAATAAGAGAAGTAGGAGAGAAAATATTTGCCAGCAATGGGAAGGAAGTTGATTTTGCATCTGCATTAGAATCCTGTGAAGAGGCTGGAGGAACTCTTGCAGCTCCCATGAATGAGGAGGAGAATAAAGCTATTTTGGATATTGTGAAACAGTATAACCGATATGCTTACTTGGGCATTAAAGAGGGTGAGATTTCAGGTCAATTTAAGTATATAAATGGCATGCCTCTGAATTATACCAAGTGGCACCAATATGAGCCTAATGGCAAAGGGACAGAAAATTGTGTAGAGATGTACACTGACGGGAGCTGGAATGACAAAAAATGCAACTTGTATCGCCTCACAATCTGTGAATTTTAAAGAATGGCCTTTCAGCCACCTAAGAGTACGGATACAATGAAGTATCCTATGTCTCACATTTATGCAATTTGTGTGATTATTCTATGTCAGAAAAATCTAAAATTAATCATATTTAGTATTTTTTATCCTTAAGAAAATGCCAAATTGTAGTAGGTGATTAACTTTAATTAAAGTGTGTGTAATCTGATGTGTTTATCTCTTTTAAAGGGTTGAGAATAGCTCAGAATTCATTATTCATGGCAGACTGTCTCTGTGCACTGTACCTTTGTGAAGATTACAGAAAAATTCCAAGGTTTGACTTCGGATATGGGAAAAGTCTGAAGTTAAAATTGCCCATGGCTTCATAGTGGAAGCATTTCCAACTATTTAATAGTTTCTGCCTGAAAAGATGCACAGAGATTGGCTTCACTGGAACAATTATGGTGTCAGGTTTTGTACATGTCTTCGAATTATAGGGCTCATTGTGTCATATTGAAGCATGCACTGATTCATTCAGCATCCATATTTAACTTGTGTTTTATAAAAATATTAACAGCACCAGTTACAACTAGTTTTCTTCATTTCAGAAGCTACTCTCTATAAAACCCTAAGATAAAGATTGCATTAGATCCATGTAGACATAGTAATATGCATATAAAATACTAAACATTGCATTTTATTGCTAAAACATCACATTCCCTCATACAACTATAACCATTGCAGTGTTAGAAGGCCACCTGTCTTCTCCCAAACCACTGAACAACTGCATACTATTTTGGGGGAGCAGGTAAGATTGGAATTTCAATCAGTTCAAACACAATCTATTTCTCTGCTGATGTCACACCAAGAAACCACGGAGTCAGACCCTGACTCAAATCTGCTAGAATCAAGAAGCATCTTTTCACAAAGTGTTTTCACCACTACTCAGTTTGGGTAGCTGGTGAGCAGTGGGAGCTCAGTAAAGCACCTCAAGTAGCAAATTCTCACACACTTACCTTGCAGTGAGGAAGTCCTGGGCTCATGCATTATCATTTTCACACCACCTGAGGGGAAAAAAAAGGAAGGACTGGAGTTAAAATACATGCATAAACACTTTTACTTCATCATCTCCTCCTCCCCTACGTTTGGCTCTGTACAGGGAACCCTTAGGAAACCTGGACTTTGACTCTGGGTGCTGTTGTCCCTTGTCCGGAAGCATGCATGGAGGAAGAGATGGGATCTATTCACATGGTCATTTCAAGCCCTGTCAAGTAGGAAAGCTTTAGTGTCTTCAGATGCAGGAGATAAGGGGATACTTTTGGCAGCAGAAGATTCATGTCCAGCATTGCATACAGCACTCCAGCTGACCTGAGAGTGGGCAGGGACTTTGAAACGGGAAAAGTACACCCAGTGCTGTGTTGGATAGATTTCAAAGCATGAACCTGCTTTACAAAATAGCTTCATTTGAGACCTATGACCATGATACCATTTTGGCCAAAAATTTCAAATGAGAAGGGAATAGGATCATGCCATGATGATAATTGACTCTCAGGTTACTCTGACAAAAGATAAGGCTGAAATAATACCTTTTAATTTTCCTAGGCTTAGCTCTGACCAGCTGCACTAAATCTGCTAGAAAGAGTTGAGGTTTACATAAAGCTACTGCTATCTCTTGCATTTTAATTATTAGTATTTTAATGAGTAATCCTTGTTAGCAATTTTTGAGTCTTTCAACTGTACAGTTTCTTTGTTAGAGCAAGATGATTACTTGGCATAAGAACGCATCATGTTGGAGAAAGAGACAAAAAACCCACCCCCACTCTAATCATACTAACATGATCTTTTCTTACCTGAACCAAATTCTTGGCATAAGAATGCATCATGTTGGAGAAAGAGACAAAAAAACCCCACTCTAATCATACTAACATGATCTTTTCTTACCTGAACCAAATTCACATATTCATTTACATAGATCCCCAACTAAGTTTGGAGTATGCTATTCCATTAGTTAATCAAAGATTTATTTCCACCACATTTGTGCTTACAAGATGACTACACAAATCACTTGTTAAAATCCTTAATGTGTAACATCTTACAAATGGCTTAACACAATATATCACCTGTCTCTAAACAGATTTAGCCTTTAAGACTTGGGTGCTTTTTATCTAGTTAAGAAAAATATGATTATTTTTTCAGTCAACAGCTAATTTTTATTAGAGCAATAAGCAAAGCATCTAGGCTACATCTCAGAGTCCAATTTGTTTCTGCTTAAGCCATTACTATTAGAAAAAACAAAAAACAAAAACAACAGATCAAACTGATCAAACGGATCATGATTTAGGATGAGAGGAAACGGCCTCAAGTTGCACCAGGGGAGGTTTAGATTGGATATTAGGAAAAACTTCTTCACCGAAAGTGTAGTCAGGCACTGGAACAGGCTGCCCAGGGAAGTGGTTGAGTCTCCATCCCTGGAGGTATTTAAAAGACGGGTAGATGTGGTGCTCGAGGACATAGTTTACTGGTGGACTTGGCAGTGATAAGTTAACGGTTGGACTCGATCTTAAGGGTCTTTTCTAACCTTAACAATTCTATGATTCTATGAAACACACATGCTGCTTAAAAATAAAAACTCCTCAGATCCAGTCAAAGAACTGCTAGGCAGCACTTTCTCCTCTATGGTTCACACTCAGATCTGTAACGTTTCAGGTAATTGAACTAAACTCCTCAGTTATTTTCATAAAATAACTCCATACAACACCATACTCGGCTCTTCTTTTGCTATGCTCTAGCCTTCCCCTTATACCATGCTGAAGCAGCCCTCCTTGTTCTGTGTCCCAAGTCTGGACTATGCCTCTTATATAAAAGTGAAGATATCATGGGGATGTCTGCCAGTTTCCTGCCTTTATAAAAAAACCCTGTGTCTACATTCTTTTGCAGGGACTTTAATCTCCTAACTTTGATGAACTTCAGCAAAAAAAGTCCAGTGTCAACCATCATATGTAGAAGAAAAAATTCCCTAATAAAAGCAATATTCTATGCTTGGAATGCATTTGTATTTCATGGGATTCATATGTTATAATTAAAATCCTGGTGAAGGTACATACTCAGTAGAATATTACTTGATTAATCTTTGCAGTTCCACAGAGGAACAGAAAAGTATCCAGAAATTGTTATTTTGTTCTTTTAGATGGCTTTTGTGTGTGTGTGTATAACCCTATCAATTTAAACCCTCAAATGCTGTTTAAAACACTTATAAGCATTTCAGTCTATTTTTTGTGAAAGATTCAAATTCTGCATTTATGTATTAATGGAATTTTTTTTAAATGGACAGAGAGGTCAGGCACAAGAAGAAACAGAATAAATTGTTTCTCTGTTCTGTTGTTACAGGATAAATAATTTTGATAAAATCTTTCCTTACAAATGCAATGAGCAAAAACAATTCCTGGTGCATAATGACCAGACCAGGTAAAATCCACATTAGTCTTTTTTTTTCTTAATTTATAACACTTTGCTACAGAAAAGCAATCTAAAGGTAAGATCTTTAATTCAGAAAACAACTAATTCACTTCTCAAGTGCTATAAAAGCAGATTTTGAGAATTAAGATCCTAGTACAAGTTAAAAGGTCACAAAAATTCGGTCTCTTCTGAAGCAAATGGATTGCATATCACATAACAGAAATCTAACACAATTGTTATTACAGTATATTTAACAGTGAGAGTTTTGTCTGGCCATAAAAATGATGGATATTGATTTCAGAGAGAATTCTCTCTGGTCTAGAGTGATATCCTCTTTTGTAACTGTATAATTTAATTAGGTGTTTTGGCTTAGAAGTACTATTAGCAATTTTGAACACTCAAAAACCTCTCCCCCCCATCAATCCCTACCACATGTAAAGAAATTGACCTTACAGAAAATAAGCCTTTTTTGAGTGACTTCCTGATTTTTGTAGAAAATTGATTAAGACCACCCAAACCCTATGGTTCTTGGGAAAACTGAGTTCAGATTCAACCTTATGTGAACATAGTAACTGGGAGGATGTGACATAGACATCTTGTATAAATTGTGACCAGTGCCTCCTTTATTTATTTATTTTTAATTTTGAAGCCAAATTTAAAGAAGAATAATTATGTTATTTCTCTGTTCTTTTCCAGAGAAAAGAAGATATATGGTGGAAAAATACCAGTACTTGCTGCCGCAGTACCCTAGCAGTGATGCATTACAAAGTAGGGTAAAGGTAAATCATACGTTTTACATTTATTTGCAGCTTTTCTTTAGAAGAATGGTAAGTGCAAATAGGAGAATAAATATTTGCCACCAGGAAATTTGTTAGCTGGTTTTGAAACTCCACTGAAAAGTGGTAGAAAAACTAATGGCCCTATTACAACTTTTATGAACCAGAGGAAAACAATGTTCTTGAGAGTATTGTGTAATGATATAACAGGCATGTTTGTCTGGACCTCAAAGCATATCAGATTGCAAGTGATTTTCATTATCTGAAGTTGAAATGTACTCTTATAAAGTCATATTAACCTACAGTTATACAAACATACCTGGGTTTAAAGCACAATCGATACAGAATGCTTGGAAATTGAAGTAGCACCTTTAAAAATGATAAGGGGACTTGGATTTGAGTTGAAGTCCCTGTTGGGAAACCAGGGTTTGGCAGAATTTGGCTCAAGGGTGATAAGCCAGGTGTGATGCCATGTGAAAACCGGAATGAAACTTTCACCCATCTCTGCCCTTGTGGCTCAGGAGCCAAAAGGAACTGTACAGCAAGGGTACCTTAACCCTTGAGGAGGCCAAGTGGTGTGGTTGACGCACCTGAGGGACAGCATGCCATCCAGAGGAACACAGACAAGCTCAAGAAGCAAGATAAATGAACCTCATGAGGTTCAACAAGGACAAGCGCAGGATCCTGCACCTGGTTCGGGGCAACCCCCAGTATCAATACAGGCTGGGGGATGAAGAGATTGAGGGGAGCCCTGAGGAGAAGGACTTGGGGGTACTGGTGGATGAAAAGCTGGACATGAGCCAGCAATGT